CAGAATAGAGAATAATGGGCAAAATGTGCAGAATGAATGGCAAAAAAAAAATATAAAAGAATAGAGAAAAATAGGGCAAAAATTAAAAAAATAGAAAATAATAGGGTGCTAAAATATGAAGAATAGAGAATAATAGGCAAAAAATATAAATAATACAGAAAATGACCTAAAAAATTAAAGAATACAGTAATGAATGACCCCATCCAGATCCTCAAGAACAATCTGTTTGAAAATAGGACTGATCATGTTTACTGTGTTTTTAGTTCTTCGTGGTGGTACTTTGATTGAGTTGATTCACATATTTTTTTTCAAATTCGCATCCTTTATTAGACCTCTGCACATAAAAAATTCCCGCCTACATAGAACTTTTTGCAATTGTAACCATATGTAATGTCTGGCTGGCAAAAGTTCTAACATTCAAAACATCCTAAGTATTTGCGTATGCAACAATTAAACAAAATAAAAAAAAATCTGCTTGTTTGGTTCCAAACATTAAGTGGTAAAAGTTTAATATATACGAATTAAGATATATTATGAAAAGTTCTGAGATTAACTTGAATGTCTGATATAAAGCACTGTCGCTATTACATCACTGATGCTTCTTTTTTAAATGATGTCATTTTGTCTGCGTCTACATTGTGTGTGTGGAAAGGAGGAGTGAGGGGTTCTAGCTCTGTCATGTAATATAGAAAATTGAAAATAGATTATGTCCAAAGAAAAAAATCATTAATTCACAAGATACAAAACATTGATCAATATGCATAGCAAAAGTAAAAAGTGGATGAATGTCAATAAAATTACCATAACTGAACAGGAAAATTGCTTAATTTGGGTATGTATTTATGTCAAACATATATTCTTTCATGACACAACTTTAAACTGTAAAAGTGTTGGATTCTGTAAGTTTTTTTGAGTTATAAATCAAATCCATGTGGAATCCAAAAGAAAAGTCTATTAAATTCCATATGGAAAAAGGAGGAATAAAAAATTTTAAGCCGTAATGATGCCCTGAAAAACTTCTATGTGACTTAAATAGCCAAAAGATCTTGACATCGTTGGTATTTGGTAATATGATTTACAGGCATATCAAACTGTTTGTTTCTTGCACAATTGGGTATAAAAACCAATAAAGAAGGATGCGCTGAATTCGCATTTTCGTAAAATATTTAATCTCATTATTTATATTTTCAAACTATTTTAAAAAATCACAAATAGTTTGGGGAAAAGGGGGGGGGGGGGCAGATAAAGGAAACAACGTGTCCCTTATTCTTTGTAAAAGGAGCATACATTTTTTTTAAACAAATGCAAATTGTATTGAAAAAAACATTCTTATAGACCAGATAATTTTTATCTTTTAAGGATATTTTTCTTATAAGACAAATCCAAAATTCATGTTAAGAATACATATTCTAATAAAACAAATGCAAATTATGTTCGGGATATACAACTCTGGTAATGCAAAATATACACGTGCATAGTTTTAACAGCCCAATAATATGTCCGTTATGTCGAGGCCTTCTATATCTATCTACATTGTTTTGGTTTTGCTCATTGTTGAAGGCTGTACGGTGACCTATAGGAGCTTACATTTGAATTCTGGTGAATGTAGTTGTCTAGCTGGTAATCATACCACATCTCATTAATTTTTTATATAAATCCGTAAACTTCATTAAAGTTTGTAATTATATATTATTGAAGTAATTATAAGAAACTATGTCAAACAAAATACTACTTGCTTTTCGGAAACACTTTTTTATGGGGTTCGTGATGCTCTAAATTTTGTTTTCTTTATTGTGTGTTTTGTTGGTGTGTTGTTTGTCTTTTCCCTTGTAGCCAGCCTATTGTCGGTCCTTCTAAAACTTGTTGGGTTTTTTTTCGTTCCCTAGATATCTTCCTACTTTGGTTAACGAAAGGCGATGTCTGAAAAGTCTTATCCAAGCCTAGTTCGTGTAACCGAACATGATAAAAGGGGGATAAATTTTTGCCTATCAATTTTTTTTCTTTTTATATTTAAACATTGATAAACTTGTGCACCGCTTTTAAGGAACAACAACCATTATTTTTTAACTAGAATTCAGTGGTTGTCGTTTGTTGCTGTAATTCATATTTGTTTTTCGTTTATTGTTTTGTCCATACATCAGGCCGTTAGTTTTCTTGTTTGAATTCATTTGCAATTGTCATTTCGGGGCCTTTTTTTTTAGCTTGCCCTGCAGTATGGGCTGTGCTAATTGTTGAAGGCCGTACGTTGACCTATAGTTGCTTACTTCTATGTCATTTGGTCTCTGGTGGATAGTTGTCTCATTGGTAATCATACCAAATCTTCCTGTTTTTTTATATAGACAGTATTGTTAATGTTTATATAACTTAATAAGTACATGTTTGTCCTATATACACTTAATTTCTGATTGTAAAATCGTTGAAATGAGACAAATATGTTCATAATCAAATTTATTTCTTTTTTATCTGTTATATTTTTCGCAATTTACTTCAATTTTATGCCAATTCTTAAAAACGATACTCTTTCATTCATTTTTCTTTCTTTTGAAAAATTGTTCACTTTTGTTCAATTTGAAATAAAATATCAAAATAATTTGAGGTTTCGATATTTTATTCTGCGGTTAAGAGTCTCGTTGTATGATTAGTAATTTAAAAACATTTTAAATGTATTTCATTTAATCATAAACATCTGTAGATGACATCTCTCTTTTCTTGTACTATATTTGTAAATAGATATATAAATTCTTTATACGGAAATGAGTCGTTAAAAGCCTTTCTCGTAAAATTGAAAATATTTTATTTACAATGATTTTGTAAATTGGACAGATTGAATTAATATGGGGTAAATGTACATTAGACAAAACTGTCATGAAATACTTTGATATAATAAATATATCAAAAGGACTTCGCTTGTATGACTGTTGTTCATTTTTTTCACTTTTCACTTTGTTTAAAGTTGTCCAAATAGGTGACAAGATTTCCCAAATATTTTATATTGAAGGTATTTATTTTTTTTTAAAAAAGAAGAATTTTTTTTTAAATATTGACAAGATTATGTCTTAAAGAAACATGCGAAAATACAAAGAATAAATAGCATGGACCCTTCTAAAAAATTTGGGTAAACTCAAGTACTCGGGAATGTAAAGCAGTTTCTGCTCTGTAAGTGATCCCCGTTTTGTACAGTAGTCAGAATTCTTCTATCAAAAGTTTGAAGCCCTGCTTTCGTGTATAGTTTTTTAAACAAACAACGCCTTTTAATATTAAATAACATATTATCAGACGAAATTTTTGTGTGAACGTTCGACAATTTCTTTATCAAACACAAATTTTGATATAAAGTATATGTTCGAGAAATCCAAACTTGCTGCTACTACTAGTAATTTTTGTTTAAGAAACTTTGGAGAAAACGTCAGATTATGAAAAAAGCATGTAAACACTGAAATTAGAAAAGTTTCTATTAATTTTTTCCTAGTCGATTTTCGTGCCAAAGGTCGGTGGTTCTCTCCGGGTTCCCCTACTTCCTCCACCAATAACAACTGGCTTCAATGATAAATCTTTGATTGCTGGAAGTGGCGTTAAACACCAACAAACAAACATTTTGTGTGTCATCTGTGTTCATAACGTGTTACTATTAAGGATCGGAGTTTCAAAAAGAACTTATCTTGTAAAAAAAAAACTAACGTTTGGCTCAAGAAGGATTTATATGTAGCAACATTTTCTTGTCCTTATTTAATTGATACTGAATGTTTTAAAATTAATAGTTCCTGAATATTTTTTCGCGTCATAGAATATTCTCTTTTTTTTTTTTTCTTTTTTTTTTTTTTTTTTGGAAAACGTTACAAGGAAGACGTGTCCCCAAACTAGAAATAAATTCATAATTTGATGTTTATTGTTCGTTGTTTCCCTTTTAAATCTTGTTTCCTTATATTTCATTAATGTGAATCTAATGCTACGTAATCATTACTTTAAATCGACATAGAATAATTCTTATTGAAGCATTTGCATACTTTACACCATTTGAAATAAGTGGTTGAAAGACATTAAATGAAATACATTGATTTTTTAATATTTGATAAACTATTTCAAATTTCTCCAAAATGAAACATATAGTCTTCGTTTTGGCTGATAATATTTTTACAGCAAAACAAAACCTGATAGTAAAAACTAAATATATGTCAAATTATCTTTTAGATGTGACAGCGTTTAGCTTTTGAATCGTTAATTTCCGATTGTATTATTATCGTTATTGGGAAAAAAAGCTTGAATACATTTAAATTACGATTTATTGAAGAGCCCATCTCTTATGACATTAGGTTTTAGTTCATTTGGATATTTTCCTCAAAGGTCCAATTCTCTTACTTTTGAGTCTTAGATTCTAATAGCGACTTGTTTGAATTTACAATACACGAAGAAGCGTTTTATCTAGAATGAGGTCAACGGAATTTTGAGTTATTGATAATATTTGTGTGTTTGATGCTGCTTTCTGATAAGTAATTTTGCTTCCAGGACGATTTTTTCTGAAAGATATTGATATTGAGTTATAACAGTTCTCTGAAGAAAAACTTTTTTCAACTTGTTTAAACTATTTTAGATATTTCCTTTTTGACTATTTTGTCACCAGTCTTTTAAATGTTACCTTATAAGATGTAAGTTCTTTTTCTAACACACAAATTGTTCCTTGATTTCAATTAGTCTTGACGTTTACACTAAATTACACCTTTGTCTTAAATATTTCTTAAACTTCAACTTAAAGTATAGCTTTTCAGCATATATGGCAAAAACTCCAATTAAAAATTTATTTCTCAATATTTTTTTATATTAAATGTTTTTAATTCTTTCCTTTTACAATTTCATCCTTGGCTATAAAAACTAGTATATTTCTTCTGTCCATTGCTTAAAAACTAACACAATCATGAAGTCATGTTTACTTGAAGTTCAAAATTTGTTTCTAAAACTATTTTCTAAGGTCCAATAAATCAATTATCTTTTGTCTTTATACTTACCACCATCTGGTTCCCTTTAATTTGGACTTCTTCCCTTGTCCTTTAAGTGGAATTATGAATAAAACTAGTAACAGTAACGTCAATTGCATTGTATGCATGAAAATCGCTAAATAATTTTATAGAGTTTGAATTTTTCTCTGTCCATAATTATTTTATTATAATATTGTTTCCATGATTTGATTTCTCGTGTTTTTCTTTTCCATTCTTCTCTGTTTCTTGTTAACTATGAAATATTCCAGTCATTTAAGTTAAAACGGAAAAAAATATACGCATGTTAACTAAAGCAAAAACCCATAACGGTCTTTTTTCCGGAAATATCTGTAGACACTGTTTTGTCGCTGACGCAACTTGTTGATTACTCCATAATAAATTAAAAATAGCGCTAACAGGTGTTACAATTGGTTCTGAATGACGAGGTGTTTCAGGATAATCCGAACGTGTACTTTGGTGAACTGAATAAATTCCCTACATGCTTTCATTTGGAATGACTAACGAATACTATCAATATGTAATAAAAATAAATTATCAGTTATTAACTACAGATTGAGAAGAAACCCATCAATTTACCATTAACTTTTAGCCTCACTAAGCATGGTTTTGCTGAATTTTTTTCCGAATGGTCAATGTGGTTTTCGGTACACATTACTGTTTTTAGCACAACCTCCGTTACTATGATTGACTGTTGAAATTTTCAAATTCATTCAGCCTTGAAAAATCAAGATCACAAATAAATAACAAGACATTTTCAAAAACCATTTGATTTTTTTTTCTTTTAGTATCTCTTTAGTATAATTTAAACGAACTGTGACTTATTTTTTCATGAATGAGTGAACAAATCACAGTTATAAAGATAATTTTCAACTTAAGAGCAATGGCCAATAAATTTTCTTCCCAAATCAATTAGTTTCGATCCGATGAAACATTCGAAACTCCCATTTCTCATAATTGTAGATCATACACATATGGAAAAGTTTTGATATAAAACTGAATGATTTACAATATAGTTCGTTTGGAACTCCTCTTCTTTCTTCTAGTTTGCTGCAGTTGCGCACTGACCGATTTTCACCTTTCAATCTAAGGACAGTTAAGACGTTCAATTACTGGACTATTAACGGTCACTTAGTATTTATGACCACTGGTCTGAATAAATTGATTTGTATCAAACCTATTTACAAAATTTGTCAGATATTTGTTGCCAATTTTTATTATTGTAGTCAAGTTTATTGGCAATTTCGTTATTAAATGACCCTCACAAAAGTCAATTTCATTACAAGCGAATAAACTACGGCTAGAGTAACCAATTAAGGTAAAAGGTGTTAAAATTTGTATCTTTTAATTTTGAAAGTCATCGCTATAGGCCCATTTGTGGTGATAATTCGAGTATTAAACACCCACCTTCAAGAGTAATAAAAACAATATTAATACATGGATAAGTGAATTCCTTTCGGATTTGCCACAGTCACACAGAATTTCTCACTTTTTTTGCTGTAGTTTGCACTTAATTACATGACTTTCTTCTACCTTGTTAATGTACAATTAATTACATACACCTTTTTGATTCATCAAAATTGTTAGGATTGGTGTAATTCTTTGCATCTCACATTAGGTTACTTTACATGAAGCATTTTCCACGTTTTTCTTTCTCGTGTCATTTATTCCGTGAAACTGTATTTAATGTACCCAGAACTTTGTGTTACTGATGTTTTTCTGCACATATGATGGTAAAATTCCAATGGGTATGGCAAAATGTTCGGAAATTCATTCCAATCGTTTTGCTTGTGACAAAAATATTCAGAATTAATGTCTTTTAATCCTGATTTGTAACAATTTTAAGTTTAAGATTAAGTGTTAAAAACACAGCCTCGCACTTTCCTTTATATTTTGCTTATAGAAAGTATACATTTGAACACATTTTCACAAGAAATATGTCCCAACATTTTTTTATACACCTCTTATATTTCACTTCAATTAAAACTTTCACAGTCTGAGCATTTTTTTTTCTAATAAAAACCATTTACAGTATACGGCTCGTATCATAAACCAAACTTTGGTCAATTGTCTCTTTGATCTTTTAATCAATCAGGGTATGAAATATTTCATCTCTTGATCTTTTCTAAAGGGAATGTTAACGAATATTTCTATTTTTGGTTTTAGTCGGGACTTTTTGCAAAGTTTTAATTCTTTTTACATCATGTTATGTATTTTGATATTTTTTCACTTTGAAATTTGTTTGAAATTTAAATTGCATTGACTAATTTCAGGGTTAATAAACCCCTTTGATCACCCATTTTAACAAAATCAAAGCTTTCTGAACGCATCTTCCATTCATAAGGAACTGTTGTGACTATTCGTACGTGGTTGTGACGTGTCTAATTTGTTCTTTTTATCTTTTGACCTATCAACACCTTGAAGTGAGGCTCAGTTTGTGTCCTAAGTGTCATCAAATACCATTGACATTCCGAGATAAGTAAATATTTGAAATCAAAGAAATAGCTTTTGGTTTAAATTGACCTTACTCAATGAAAATAATTTTCAAAATGCCGATTTATAATTTTATAATAATAGACAACTAATCTGAGCATCCTTTTGAAATTTGTGTTTGCTAATATTAAATGTTCTTTTTTCTTCTAATTTTTAAATGACAAACGTCACTTATACAGTTATCAACCATACTCCCGTCAAATTAACATAAATCTTTAAAATGTTTACAAAGGACTGACAATAATAAATTGTAATTGATTATTTAAACTCATTTCAAGATTTCATAAGACCACGATTATCTCTTCGGATAGTAATAAAACATACAACACGAGTTCCGATGAGACAAGATAATACAGTTGACCATGCTTGACGAAGATAACGGGAAAATATGCATTCGGTGCATAAAACAAATTCATTAACAAAAAGTAATTTACCGATTCATTTCTTAAGGTTACAGACGTATTGGTTACATAGACGTAGTCATGCAAGGGTTATAGAATTTGGCAATAAATATTTAATAAAGACAATCACCAGATAGCATTATCTATTTGTACATATTAGTGGCTTTTGATTTATATGCGTTGTATATCGGATAAATTTAATTATCTTTATTTAGTTTGACCAATGTAAATTTAAGACATTTAATATATTCAATGAAGTAAATTTTTCAAATCAAATTTGAAGCATGCGTATAGTCGGAGGGCCAAGACGGAGGACACTAATAATTTTCAGTCTTATCTAGGTTCGAGTTATGCTGCAGAGATTTGCAAAAAGCGTTAGGTGCACTCGATGTATGGAGACTGGTCAGAACGCCCGCTGTCAACGTTTGTGAAAAAAAATACGCATACACCAACTGCATCAAAATTTAAACATTTTTTGTTTCATTTTTATGAACATATTCGCTACATATGAAGGGTTTACATTTTTTTACAGTTTTTTTTTTAATTATATAAGGATGAAAGGTTTAAATAAGTAAAAGTATATTTATAATCACAGCAACTGGTAAAGATATCGTTACAAAAGATAATTGATTGATTGTTGATTGTTGATTATTTAAATATAAATAAGAAGATGTGGTATGAGTGCCAATGAGACAACTCTCCATCCAAGTCACAATGTATAAAAAGTTAACAAGTATAGCTCAAAGCACGGTCTTCAACACAGAGCTTTGGCTCACACCGAACAGCAAGCTATAAAGGGCCACAAAATGACTAGTGTAAAACAATTCAAACAGGAAAACCAACAGTCTAATCTATATAAAAACGAGAAACGAGAAACGCCTATGAACCACACCAACAAACGACAACCACTGAACAACAGGCTCCTGATTTAGGACAGGTGCATAAAAATGCAGCGGGTTTAAACTAGTTTGTTGGCGCCAACCCTCCCTCTTACCTGGGACAATTGCGCAACGGCACAACACAAGAACAAACTTTCCAAAAATAATAAACGATAATCAAATATGAGAAGCAGCAATAAACAAATATGAGAAACAGCAATAAACGACAGCCACTGAATTACAGGCTCCTGACTTGGGACAGGCACATGTAGAATGTAGCGGGGTTAAACGTTTTAACAGGCGCCAACCTTCACCCTTACCTGAGACAGTAGTGTAACAGCATAAAAAGACACACTATAAAATATTAAAGTCTAGAAGCAAATATTTCATAGATATAAGAAGATGTGGTATGAGTGCCAATGAGACAACTCTCCATCCAAGTCAAAATTTATAAAAGTAAACCATTATAGGTCACAGTACGGTCTTCAACACGGAGCCTTGGCTCACACCGAACAGTAAGCTATAAAGGGCCCCAAAAAATTACTAGTGTAAAACCATTCAAACGAGAAAACCAACGTTGCATGTTCAGGACGATAAAAAAGATAAATTGACTATAATTGTAAGAAAAATGAAGGTCTTTTTTTAAATATTGCAATAATACTGTAATTCACTTTATTCTCTTTTGTCTATTTGTACCAACTCAATCAAAATACTTTTATACTTATTTTTATCATACACCACATTTAAAAATACTATTGAAAGTTAATTATCTTATTGAAGGTAAATCCAGAAAAGCGCTTCGGACGCATGAAATTATTTAACGAGATGTTTTCATTTTTTACAGCACTGGGTCGATACCTCTGCTGGTGGACTATCAGTCCCCGGGGGTATCATCAGCTCAGTAGTCAGTACTGCGGTACTGGTATGATTTATAACAAACCTTTCTAAAATTGTCCGTTTATAAATTTTGAAATTATAAAGAAACTAAGGTTTCAACTCCCTCAGGCAAAGTTGACCTTAGATGGATTTGGCTATTTTTTAGGTTGGTTTTTTTTTTTTGTCATATAGGTCTTCTACTGTTTCGGTTCTTCTGCATCCTTGGCTTTCAAATATTCGGCTTTGAGCGTTCCTGGTGAAGGTAAATCTAAAATACTTCGCACGCATGAAATCATTTAACGTGTTGTTTTCATTTTTTACAGATATCCAAGGAAAGTTGTACTCTTCGTCGTCTGTTCAAATGGTACAATGTAATATTGAATGATATTTTTTGGTAGTAATAAATTGGCAGATGATTTATCATTGCCGATCAACTTGTCCGATATAATTATACGCAAAAGAAACACACACGGTTTCACCATTAAACCGAGGCTAGGTTTACTATACATGTATCTTGCTATTAAATTATCTACTCTCAATGGATTTTTTAAACGCGAAGTAGAACAGTCAAAAGTAACATTTCTCTTGCGTTAATTAGACTACACGCGCATCTGGCTTTCTGAATATACAGTATTAGGTCATTATCAGAAAAAATATCTGCTTTTGTGCATGCCACTTTGAAACTGGGGAAGGTTAAAATTTACAGAGTCCTCCAACAGATTTGTGACAAATACAAAAAAGTTGATATTATTCTGATAGTAATGTAATATTGTTTTTATAGTGCATCTAAACATTGCTACAATTAAAGTTGTAAAAATGTAAACAGAAATATGAAACTACTTTTCAATCTCTAAACGAGCTCCATATTGTGAAGAAAATGATGTGACATGAAATTAACATAGCAGGACATATCACTTTGTTACTATATTT